TCCGTGTGATATAGTAGTAGATGTTTAACTCGTATTAGGCAGTGGGCCAGATTTGTCTGACGTTACATCCCTTACGAAAAAGAACTATAGTAATCCTATGGCTATTAGTATTCTATAGTATGTATAATACTTCTGTGATGTTCATTAATATACTTCTAGGCTATGTCCCAAAATACTATAGTATTCCTATAGGATTAACGTTACTATAATATTTTGTCCTAAAATACTACAAGATTCCTTTAGTTGTTTTTCATAAGGGATGTTATTAGCGTTATCAGCAGAAGGTTATCAGACTGCAGTCTGTGAGAATTCGGATAACTGTCAGCAAAGTCCCTCTGCAACTTCGTAGCGACTACTACTGATCACCGTTTTACAAAAGGATTAATAGTTTGGAGTGAAGCATACGTACAATTGGTAAGTGACATGGTTTATGGACTTAGTAAAAATACGCAAGTTGATTGAGTTACAGGCTTGTGTTGCCGGTAGCTTCCGCGATGTCTTACCTGAAGATTCAACCAGATATAATAGTCTGGAAACGACACCTCCGGCCATTTGGTTGGGTCATTGACCCAGTTTTTAATTAAATAAGGGCAATCATAACCTATTACAGTTAATTTTGCAATGTACCGTTGCCGGTCGGCAGGCATAAATGACTCGCAATATGACATTTTTGTCATTCAAATACATAGGATAGTCGCGCTGCTTTCCCCCACACCGACCACGCCCCCCAACTATGACGCGTTGCCGACTGTATCTATATAGTGATGGCTAGCGTAACTCTCTGGTTGAATGAGATTGTGAGTATGATGATTCACACTTTGGTGGTGCGTCGCCCAATCGCCCCAATGAAGAAACCGCCCCTGGTGTTTGCAAACTTCCAAGAATAATACATGGTCAAATTGCCTAAACCATGGTCCACAGTCCTAGTATCATACACTTTTTGTAAGTGACTAAAATATTACTATATTATTTACATACCAGGAATTACCAGGTTCTAAAAGCCATGGTAGCCTACTATCATGGTACCATGAAAAAAAAGAAAAAAAAACATGGAAATGCTATGGTACTTGCTGTAAGTAATATTTCAAGCACTGTAAAATTGGCATAATTATGGCATTTATGGTCTCTAAAGTACCTCAGTTACCAAGGAAACAAGATGAGGGACCAAAAAATGTCCCCTCAAGGATTTCAGATATTGCCATATTTGTGGGGACATTTTGTCCCCATAATGTAGGGTTTACCAGTACACACACACACACACACACACTAAGGGGACAGCTTGCAGAGTGTACAGAAATGTGGGACATTGCTGCTGGCTACGCCTCGTACAACACCATCGCAGCCTGCCTCATTCCCGCTGGCCCTCTAATGAACGGAAACCCAGGGCGGATCTGTCACCAGAACGCTGTCCTGAGCCTGTAAAATATGGAGCCTCAGCCAAGCTTCCTACACACAGTCTGTCATATAAGAGAGGAATCAATGTAAAAGAAAAATGTACATCCATCTCAGAAACGCAGACCTTTTACAGTAATGAATCTCTCAGCTCCAGATGCAGTTGTGATGTTAAGGATTCAATTCAGCTGAACCCCCGAATGACACCTTGACATCTTTGAAGCACTAGTCAATGTTTGTTTGTTGGTGCAGATAGAGACTCTCTTTCACATCCCTGCAGGAGAGCAATAGAGGAGAGGGGACGAGAGATCAGTAAACTCTTTTGTGAATGACAAAACAACAGGATGGATGGATGGATGGATGGATGGATGGATGGATGGATGGATGGATGGATGGATGGATGGATGGATGGATGGATGGATGGATGGATGGATGGATGGATGGATGGATGGATGGATGGATGGATGGATGGATGGATGGATGGATGGATGGATGGATGGATAGATAGATAGATAGATAGATAGATAGATAGATAGATAGATAGATAGATAGATAGATCTAGATAAATTGTACAGCAGGAACTCTTGAATCCATGTGTGTGGGTGTGAAAAAGAGTTTGAATGAGAAGATAGAGTTAACCTTTACTGTGAGGTTTGTGTGGGAAAAAAAAAGACAAAACAGCTGATGATTATGAGAACCTTGCTGAAGACATTTCAATACACACTATATCCTATAAAAACTTATCTGTGCCTTATTTTAAATGTTTTTCACTGGACATCACCTGATATCTAGACTCATTAAGTATCTTTTTTGTGTAGATTAGAGCAGTTTCCCCAGGTTTCCAGTGCACATATTGTGTACAGCTTCCTGAAAAAGACACAGGAACATATATGAATTGCATTATGAGTCACAATGGCACATATAAAGTTTGACACATGTTCTTTATAGTGTTAGTATGTTTTCTGAACATGAAATCCTACAACGACCCAGTTGCCCAATTCTCCATTCAGGTACTGTTTCTGTTGCCATGGCAGCCAGAAAACCCATTAGTGAGAGGAGCAGAACATGAAGCTTCGATTTCTATGTTCTAACAAAAAAAAAAAAAAAAAAAAATAGAGTTTGAATTTCTGAGCAAAAATGTGAGTCATGAATGCATGATGCTGTGGATGGTTGCAAGATATGAGATTCGATTCCAAAAATAATTGATTCATTGATTTCGAGTCATTGGAGTTCAATGGAATGAACTGAAGGGCCTGACATGTCTGAGCATAACTGTCCATTACCCCCAGATAGCACTATTTGAGCAATATTTGACTATATTGATAGCACTAAGTCTATTTGATGTGATTTTTACATCTGGAAGATGTATTTTTAAGAGTGTTTGCTTATCTGCAAAGGACATTTCCTGTCAGATGTCAAATAGATGTTTTTTGCTAAACTAGGCCTATGCCACATCCTTTTTTATTTTTTTTTAGAACTAGCTTCACTTTTTTCTGTACAATTTTTGTATGAATTTTCACCAACTATCAATAAAGAACATTCGATTATATTTGATATAATTTAGTGACATTTATACCTTTTTAAAAGTGTAAATGAAAATGTAAACATAGAACATGACATGTACCTTATGAAAGTAGATGTGTCCTTGTGTCAGCTCATCCGAACCATCACCTGAGAAAATCACAACGCTGTCTGTCTTCTCACGGATGTACTTTGATATCAGGAAGATTCCTGCAGAAATAAAAACATTTCTGCAAAGCACTGCTGCCACCTATGGGCTATTAGCTGACATTGGAAAGCATGGCTGGTCCTTTGCTATTGCTCATAAGCATGGTGTGCTTTGTTCAGATGCCAAAGTATTGAAGTTTATACAAACTTCATGGCATTGGTGCACTGAGCCGAGGCCAGAGAGGCACTCATCATTTCCAAACAAAGCCCAGATATACCACACATTCTGATGGGGGAAAAAATGCTTTAAAACTAGTAGGAAGTCTTATTGTATTGCTATTGGACGTTGGAGTTTCAATCAATAATTTTCTCCCTCGATGATTGGGAGTGATTGAAACAATTGTGATAAGGGTGTCAGTGGCTCAGTGGTGTTAATGACAAACCAGAAGGTTGGTGGTTCAATCCCTGAGTGAGTGAGTGAAGTCAAATTAGTTATGCTAGCCTAAGACTTTAACACAAGAATTCAAAACGGTTCTATTCTATCTGTTCTATTTCTATTAATTTGACAATTTAGTGGTATAGCATGAAAAGTGGCTTGATTAGACACAACAATAGTAAAACCTGCATTCAGTTTTGCCATTGATAAGTGGTATTAATGTGATTTGCAGTGAATTACAGTAATTGCTTCAGACCATTGGGGGTGCTTTTTAAATTCCAGACAGTCGACATCAGAGGATCAGTGGAATAAAGAGAACATCCATCCAATCATTTAGGAGTCTGAAATGATGGCAACTCCTGGCATTGCAGTGGGTAGAGGAGCATACACCTGGAAATATGCTTTAATTTGTTCTGACTCAGTTAGAATCTTGCCTATAACTAATGTGGTTGGAGTTAAACCGTGACATCTACACACGTTTTCCAAAGTGGACCAACGTGATTATTTCACGTCTTGTCGTAATACCGCGTTGAAAAGTTATAAGTTCTAAATCAGGGGCCTCTGACATCTCAAAGGAGGACATTCACAACAAGAAAAGCGCTGTATTTTTCTGAAAATGTAAGCTAGCCTACTCCACTTTCTGCAATGGAAGCTCTCATTTAGCCCATGATTTAGCCTACTTCAAAATATGGAACTAACATATTTTTGTCATTGCCTAGCTAAAAAAATTAAAAATCAGTATGTTAAACAGATAAGCCTACTAGACTATATTTAACAATATCTTTAATATAAGTTTAACAATTAGTGCAACTGTAACAGAGGCCAGCTAGTAGTTGCTGTGCAAGTAAAACCTCACTCCTCTGATCTCAATATGTACTCTAGAGGCTGCGTCTTTAGCCTCCTCGAAGATTTAAGCCTTTAGCCTCCTCCTCCTTCTGAAGATGAACGGAGGTCTTACGGGCTTGGGAGTTGGAACGACATGAGAGAGTCATTGATGGCATAATTTTTGGGTGAACTAACCCTTTAATTTTTCCAACCAGTATCTCATCAGTAAATAACCAAAACAATCTCCCACCTGTGCTGGATTCACAGACTTGGCTTTACTGGTGTGTGGTGGGATTTGGAGCTAAAGGCCTGAATGTAATGGCTGGATCAATGGTTTTAAGACGGAAGTGAATCTCTGGCAAGGGTTCTATAGTATTCTCCAGGCTATTATGAGGGTATAGCATTCCTCCTGTGTGAAATAACTTTGCACTGAACTAATATGTATTTTTTACATTAATCATGTGATGAAAAGCCATGTTTCTGTTATGGAAATCTAGAAAGTTGTTTATTAAAAGGTTCTCCAAAGCTGAGAGACATTTAGGTCACACACGCACACACACAAAAACTTTTCTCCTTTGGTTTGTAGTAAACATGAAGATGAAGGATCAAATGTAATCTTTAAGTGTCAAGTAACAAAAACACAGGTTAAACATCCACAATGCATTTATGAGGCAGGACAAACTGAACATAAACAGGGATTTTATTAATTTCTAGTGATGATAATGAGCAGCACACAACTGAACTAAATTATGACAAAACACTAAGGGGAAACAGAGCAAAGTCCAAACAGTGTGTATGAGACCACTGTATTTAGGTTGACTGGGACTCTTTTTGCCCAAAATCCAAAATCAAATCAGATGCATATAAAGTTAAGACTTTAATTAAAAAAGTTAAAGAAAGGCTTACTCTTACTAAATTAAATTGAATGAAAAATGTCTCTGATTTCTGATTTTTCTAATAAGAAAGTTAATGAAAACCGTAAAAATAATTTTAAAAGGTATGTTACTATTGTTGCTTAATATACTTTCATTCTGTATGTGTTTGTTATCTACTACAAAAATGTATGTGTATTTAAGTAAACAGCAGTGCAGATTATTTTACAGACAGTAATATAATGCACCACAGAATCATCTTTCAAACCATTTTTTGATTAGATCTTTAAAAATATAGAAATTAGAATATATGGTCTCCAGCAATAAGTGTCAGTGATGGGATTTCCTAGTCTTATGTTGGCACAGTGTGTGTTTGTGTGTGTGTGCATTTAAGGCCGGCAGCGCTGAATGAAGCGCGGATACAGGCAGACGTCACGGATGTGGTGGCGGTTCAGGAGCCAGGTGAGGAACCGCTCCAGTCCCAGACCGTATCCACCGTGAGGACACGTGCCGAACTTTCTCTGCAACACACAATGTTACACACTTAGAGGTGAACATTTCAACCAATGTGGCATCACAAAGGGCTCGCTGATACATTGAATATTCAAGATGATTTTGGTGGCATTTTTGTCTAGTTCAATTGCATTATTGTGATCAGACCATTTCAATAAATAAATCTGACAAAAAATATGTCACTCATATATTAAACTATTTTATATGCAGGCAAATAATGCTGTCTATTATTAAGTATTATACTGCTGCATGTAAATGAAAATGATTTTATTCTTTCTGCAATCCAGCCTTAGTTATTTTATCATTACAATTATTGACTAGATTTAGATTTTACATGAAACATTGTTAATCTACTTGCCAGCAATGGCTATTTCGAAACAAACAAAAAACAAAATCACAATTTAGATGACTTCAGGACAAATACAAAAATATTCAAATGTACACCATTATAAAGGTTTGTGCTAGGTAAGAATTTTTTTTATTTTTTTTTATTTTTAAAGAAGTCTCTTCTGTTCATCAAGGCTGCATTTATTTAATGAAAAATACTGTAAAAATTGTGAAATATAATTACAATTTATCTGTTTTCTATGTGAATATATTGTAAACTGTAATTTATTCCTGTGATCAAAGCTGAATTATAGCATCATTACTCCAGTCTTCAGTGTCACATGATCCTACAGAAAACAATCAAGTCACTCTTGACTATTTTAATGCTTCCTTGAATCTTGAAGTTGCTCGTTTTAATGTTTGCTTTGTCTATTTTTAAATTATTTTGTATTATTTGAGATCATTTCCAAGTTTGCTGAGGCCTCTGGTCTATATGAACTGCTGGCAGAAGGCTATTACCTGGTCAGTGTACCAGTAGTAGGGTGTGGGGTCGATGTTCTCTCTCTTATACCCTTCCAGGAGTTCATCAGAGTCCCAGATACGCATGGAGCCTCCCACGATCTCCCCGACGTTGGGCATCAGCACATCCACCTGACAAACACAAACACATTAGCCATGTAAAACACAATTCAGCTGTGTACTGCTCTCCAACAGACTTTTACGAAAAATTGTGTCTCCTACAACAGGTTTACAGAAATTCAAGGTCGAAAAAACACAAATTTTGTCATAAAATAATATCCACTGCAGCATCATCTGTCTTCTCACAGTGTCCGGAATAATTCGCTTAAGGATTCAGTCTCTCTAAACCCCAACATTATTATAGTAAAACCATGTTTTTTAATTAAACTATGAATTTGAAGCAAAACCATGATTAATTTGTAGTAAAAATGAAAATGAAATTACAACAACCCTGTTTTATTTTTTTATTCGTTGTAAAACCATTGTTAATTTTTGTAAGGGTAGATGTATTCACTATGTATGTTTTCCTAGCACTCAGCTGACACGTTTGTTTGAAGGACAGCATATGGCAGGATGTGGAGTAGTGTGTTTTGTCAAAAAAAATAAAGTAATTGGGCCTCTGAATAATCGAAAAAAGAAAAAAAAAATCTGCCAAATAATCGTTAGTTGCACCCCTATTACAAACTGCATGAAAAGGAGTAATATGCAAAAAAGCATAAGAGCGGCACTTTAACATTTGTATATTTTACAAAAATAGTTTGGACTTGAAAATTGCTAGATTAGCAAGAAAATCTTAGCCGTACGTCTCACCAAATAAAGTTAAGATAACAAAAAAAATGTTTAAGTACAATTTCCATGGTAGCACATAGTCCAATTTCAAAATGGTTTTAATTGTGTTTAAGTGTTTAAGTTTTCGAATTATGATTACATAAATATGGGATAGCAAAAAAAGCGGCAAGTAACAGGCTTGATAACTACCATCAACTGATCATTACCTATGATACGTTGCTTGTAAAACGTTTTGTTTCAGCCAGTGTCTAACAGTACCAGCTCTGCCTCATTTTATGCCTGGCTGGTAACTCCGCCCACAGTGAAATCTCATTGAATGCAATGGCTTTGGTGTAGAAAGCATTTGTAACCGGATTTTTTTGTTTTGCGCTGGTTATGACAGGTTAATAAGTCTGGTCCTGACCGATTCAGTGAGGCGACGGTCCTCAGGACAGCGCTGCATGTAGAAGGATTTGATCTCAGCCGGGAATCGACACAGCAGGATGGTCTCATTAATGGTGTCGGTCATCAGGCGCTCAGGGGCTTCTGGGATATCCTGTAGAAATGACACACAAATAGTCAAATATCATTGTAATTCAAGTGTTTCAGCCTTCTTTTCTTTGTCGTTGGACAACAATGTATGAGACTCATCATAACAAACCTCTCCAAACTCATAAAACGTCCCATCATCCTTCTTGATGTTGTGCTCTCTCAGCCACACAATGGCGTCAGGGTAGTTCATCCTCTTGAACGGACGTTTGGGAGGCTTGAAGTCCTGCAAGAGGAAAAATCAAAAATAGATGAACAAATTGTCTCCATACTTTAGACATTTTAAGTTTATTCACAAAGAATATTCAGAACACCTTTTTAAAATGCATCAATTTCATGAATTTTCCAGGCCTGATCAACATAAATGGATGTTTCCAGAACCTTGGTATAACATTTTACTGCTACTCAGACACATATAATGGCGTTGTGTGAGGTCGGGGTCGTACTGGGTTGATGTCGTAGAGCAGTTGCGCAGCAGGAGACTTTAGAACCCTGTCGACCACGTCACACACCAGATCCTCCAACCGGTTCAGAAGGTCTTCATAAGTCATGAAGGGACACTCAGCCTCAATGTGGGTGTACCTGAGAACACACACGTGTGTTGGTTTTTATGGTTTATGGGGACTAAAATAAAATATTCAACAATACAATTTCCCCCAAACTGCACCAAGTTACAGGATTATTTCTCAAAATAAAGTGATCAGTGACTGGAAAGAGGTAGAAATAACAATTAACTGAAAATGAGTTGCTGTATACAACAACACAGTTGTCATTTTACAATATGTTTATCAATTCAGCTTTTTCACTCATCTCACAAAAGTCCAAAGATTACAAGCCTGTGAATAAAACTGAGCTGTATAATACTCTTCCAAATAATAACAAGCGCAGTTGGCACCTTTTCTTTGTTGCATGTTCAGCAGATCTGTGCTGTTGTAAGGGATTCGATTCAGAAGGTTGAATCATTTTGAGACTAAGTCATTAAAACTTGTATTTTCAATTAAATTTAGGGAAGCCACTTGAAACATTCACTCGGTGGAGCTATTTAATTTACTTTTATTTGATTTGTTCATTGCAAACAACTGAAAGTCTGTAAACTTTGAATAATTTTGATTGCAACTGTATAGACTAAATTAGGGGTGGTTCTAAATTAGGGGGGGACTAATAATGCAATGCTAAGAATAAACCATCTAAAATGCTTTGAATAATCATACTGCTAAAAAAAAATGCGATATGGTGGTTTAAATATTCGCGCTTTCACTTTGAGTGCCGATCCAGCACGTATGCACTTCAGATGGTCAATGCAAAGAGTTCTAATCGCAAAGTGTGTCAAAATGACTATTGCCAAACTTTAAAGTTAGTTCATCCAAAAATGTTAATTCTTTGTCCATTTATTCACTCATGTTATTCACGTCCATCACACATGCATTTGAATGCATGTTTACTACAGTATGTGCGTTGTAAAACTATTTATCATCATTCAAACAAACAAGTTTGCATACAATTTAGTAATGTCAAGAGCACGGCTCAGTATATTATGGCCTGTGCCAATGGCAACAGAACGGGTGAGACTGACCGGCCGGTCAACAGTCTGGGCCGATCATGTGAAAACCGTCTGATTCCAATCGGTGTATCTATAATTACATTTTAGACATATATTAACATTAGAAAACAATTATTTTAAATAGTAATAATAGCATTTCGCAATTTTTTACTGTATTTTTAATCAATTAAATGCAGCCTTGGTTACCAAGAAGAGGTTTCTTTCTAAAACAAAAAGTCATAATCATCCCAAACTCCATTACACTGCCCCACTTCTGTTTGTTTCAGTAAACGGCTCCAGACTCACTCGGACAGGTGCCTGCGGGTGCGCGACTGCTCGGCCCGGTACGACTGGGCGATGCAGAAGGTGTCCCCCAGCGCAGGGATGCAGGTCTCCAGGTAGAGCTGAGACGACTGCGTCAGGTACGCGTTCTCACCGAAGTAATCGAGACTGAAGAGGGTGGAGCCGCCCTCCACCTGTGTCTGCACCAGAGTGGGTGGAGTTATCTGAGGACCACAACAAATAAACCTCCAAGTTTAACAACATCTCTTAAATCTGTACTCCAGACTATTCAAGATTCATAACAAATTAAGTTGAAAATGTCATTTTGTGGTCTATGCCTCAAAAATCAGTATCAGACTTTTTAAGACTTGCTAGAACTTGACTCTCGTAAACGTGTGTACGGCTGTTGCCAGAGCCAGAGATTATAGTTTATACATTTTTAAATATAGATCTTTTCTTACAGAAATCCATCCCTTGGCTTCAGAAGGCATTTATTAACCCTACTGGAGTTGTATGGATTACTTTTATGATGAATAGATGCACTTTTAGAGTTTCAAAAACCATTTTGAAGCTAGGAAGAGCCAGGATATTATTTAATATATCTTCGATTGTGTTTAGCTTAAAGACGGAAGTCAATTTTGGGATCATTTTCATTTTGGGATGAACTATCAAGGAGCCTGTGCATAATGTGTGCATGTGCATGGCTTTGGGAATGACCTCGCAGTAACCGCGGCTGAAAAAATGATCCCGAAAACACTGCATGACGGTGGATCGGACTCTCAGGATCTTGGAGATGTTTTCCCCGCGGATCATCATGTGCCTGTTGTTCAGCTGCACGTCCACATCAGACTCTTCGTTGAGCAGGTTATCAGCACCTCCCGCCGGAGCCAGACCGATCAGCTCCCAGAAATCACAGTGCAGCTCATGGCCGCCCGGAGCCTAGCAAAAAAAAAAAAAAAACACACACACACACACACACACACAAACATGAACTGCATGAAGGACAAACCCCTTCATGACAACACATTACTTCTCCTGTGTATTCAATTTAAGTTGCATACATTTTGTTCTTGTATTGATGTTACATTTGTAGCAATTTTGCACTTTGACAGTCAGTTTGAGATATAGGCTATATTTTATTATTGTGTGTATGAGATCATTTACTAAATCAAACGATTCTTTGAAATCATAATTGCATTACAATGTGTTTTTAAACCCCAAATATAATTAATATAACATACAGATTAACATGTCATTGAAAAAAAAGTCGTTTCAATGTAGCTAGCTACTTTTTGATAGGAACTTGTAAATGTAACTTAACTACTTTAAAATAGCTTGTAGCGATACAGTTTCCGTGTAGCTTCAACAACACCGATGTTTATGAATTAATCGGTGTCATTTCTCACCTGTTTGCCCTCAGGAACAGGTTTCACGGTTCCGTACAGAGCGACGGTACTCTCCGTAGACAACAGCAGTCCATTATAACACTGACACTGCACACAACACACATATCCTTTTACTGTATTTCAACTCTTACATTCAGTATCAAACACAGCTGTTTTGGATAAACGAATATAAATCACCCATTTCAGAACAAATACAAATTCCAACTAGATGAGTAAAGTTTGTGAACAAAGTTGATGTTGGTTTGACAAAGCCGCAAAGTCAAAGTGTTGCTGGTATATTTTAACACATTGTTAATGTTTTAGCAAACTGTTACCATTTTTTAGCATGATTTAACGAATTGCTTGTTTTTAACGTGAATAGCTAGCATGTTTAATGGTGTTGCTAGCATTATTTACCATGTAGCTAACATGTTATAACATGATTTAGTAAATTGCTGACATATTCTATAATTTTGCTTGCAAATTTAACATGTTGATAACACCAATCAGCAAGTTGCTATCATGTTTTACCACATTAGCATGTTTCTAGCATACGTCATGCATACTTACATGATTTTTCTTGTTGCTGGCATGATTTAAAGCATGCATCAAATATCGTTACAATTAAAACATATATTTATATTACACTATTGTTCAAACTTTTTTTTTTTAAGAAGATGTTAATTCATCAAGGACGAATGAAATTGATCTAAAGTGACAATAAAGACATTTATAATGTTACAAAAGATTTTATTACAAATAAAAGTTCTTTTGAAATTTTAAAATCAACAATGTATGTTTCTAAAGCAGCAAATCCGCATATATTAATTTCAAAAGAGACGTGCCATTGAAGACTGGAGTAATGATGCAATTCACAAAGAAAACAACAATTTTAAATTCTAATACTATTTTTAATTTCTTAATCAATTCATCTAAATTTGATCAAGAATTCAATTCATTTCTTGGTGTGCCGAAAAGACTTAAACAAAAAACATCTTACCGAACCCAAACTTCAGACCGCTAATGTACACTATATAATAAATTATGTTATTTTATGTAATATTGAGATAATTTTTGTTTTATTATCTTTACTTTAGGGCATCGTCTAGCCTTAATCCTAATAACTAAAAGCACTGATAACTAAATACCCAGACAGCAAACTGACATTGAATCAACGTGGAAACGACATCTCTCATGACATTGAAACAACGTTGATTTGCTCATCGAATTAACGTTGAACCAACGTCAGACGCGGCATTCTTCAAAGCTAAATGAAATCGAAAATTGGTTTGCTTTCATAACGTTGAAACAACGCGTTGATTTCCAGTTGATTTTCCGTTAGTTTTGAAAGAATGACGCGTCTGACGTTGGTTCAACGTTAATTCGATGAGCAAAACAATGTCAGATCAACGTTGTTTCGATGTCATATTTCAACGTTGATTCAATGTCAGTTTGCTATCTGGGTAGGACTTATTTAACCATTTATAATTGTGTAAAATATCGACAAAAACACACACACAGTACCAGTTTGTCCATGAGAACACACTGCAGGAAACCGGTTCCGTCACGTAGCACAATAAACAGGAGATTCTTTCCTGAGAAAACATTAGCAAATACATTTTATTTGGAAGTATACTGAGTATTTTTGTTGAATCAGAGCTTTATAAATTTGTGAATATGTGAATCAAAGCAGGAGATTCAGACAGAAGTCCCTCAATCAGACAGCTGAGAAAGACAGAATCGATTCTGAATGAACAAACACACCAAATCTGCTCACCTTGTCTGCGTAACCGATGGACCCAACCGAACACCTTCACCCTGTTTTCTCGGAGCGACTCCAGTTTATGAATCTTTACCTGAGAGTTACAGAAAACAAACCAGAAAATCTCAATAAAGCAGACTTTCACTTCAATATCGACTTCACTGCCTACTTTAAAATTAAGGGTGTCGAAATAATTCGTTTCTACGATGCGGATGTGGACTATTTTGCATCGATGCAGTCACCATAATCAATTATAGCTACTCTGACAAGGGGAACAAAAAAAACGAATAATAAAATGCACCCACTATTTTAAATGCTCCTGTAGTCTGCTGCGTTCAGACAAATATTCTCTCTAAGCTGTGCAACAATGCTACTGCAATGCAATGCAATCCCTCTATTCTCACTAACAATGAGTTTAAGGTCAGTACTCAGAGGTGCCAATTCATGTGTGAAAATGATTCTTCATGCTCTCTGAACCATTCTTTCACAATTTTAACCCTGATGAATCTTGGCACTCATCCTCCAATATGGCCACGATACGTCTTCCGACAAAGTTGTTTGAGAAATGAAAAAGCCACACACTTACATGCTAGAAACATAATCACTGTAATAATGATTCAATCATAGAAACTTAAAGGAGTAGTTCACTTTTAAAAAAACGTTTGCTGATAATTTACTCACCTCCATGTCATCCAAGATGTCCATGTCTTTCTTTCTTCAGTTGAAAAGAAATTAAGTTTTTTGATGAAAACATTCCATATAACATTTTCTCTGTATAATGGACTTCATTGGGAACCAACCGGTTCAAGGTCCAAATGAGAGTTTCAGTGCAGCTTCAAAGGGCTTTAAACGACACCAGACGATGAATAAGGGTTTTATCAAGGACCCTTCGAGTCATGACTAGAAAAAAGATTTGTTCATTTTGATGAACGAGTTTGAACAGGAGAGTCACGAACGCTAATCACAGAACAGAGCAAGGCGACTATTTGTGCTTATAAAAAATTCAACTTTTTTATTATTTTTTTAAATGAGCGATCGTTTCGCTAGATAAGACCCTTATTCATCGTCTGACGTTGTTTAAAGCCCTTTGAAGCCGCAGTGAAACTTTCATTTGGACCTTGAACCGTTTGGTTCCCAATGAAGTCCATTATATGGAGAAAAATCCTGGAATGTTTTCATCAAAAACCTTCATTTCTTTTCGACTGAAGAAAGAAAGACATGGACATCTTGGATGACATGGGGGTGAGTAAATTATCAGCAAAAGTTTTTTTTAAGTGAACTACTCCTTTAAAGGAGCAAAACGCAAGTATCTGAGTTTTTGCAGAACTACGCCCCCTCTGGCGACAAGCGAAACTGCGTGTAATTATGGAAACACGTTCCTGAACAATACAAGTTATTACTTTGGATAGGACCCGTTTGAGCCCTAGAGCAGACCGGAGATCTCTCCGTTTGTTGAAAGCCTTCCCGATGTTGCCTCTCGTCTTATTCCGACGACTGGCACTGGACAGACAGAAGTTGCATTTTCTTTGTCTCAAGTGGAGTTTGAGTTGGGGTTTGGAATAAACTACAAGCCGGTCTCACAATGCGTTTTCTCAGATCGGATAGCTATCAGACTTATCAAAACGATTCCATTACACCTGGTCACATAAATTAAAAGTGTTTTTGCAAAACGGATATAATCTGATCTCCAATTCCCGCGCTATATAGGCTACAGAATTCATGAAGTGCACGTCACCAAAAGCAACAGATATGAGCTGCATTTTATTAATCATCGGCTAATTTCAAAATCAGCAAAGACAGCAATAAGAGAGAGCGGCAACAGCCCTGGTAAAGATCAGTTCATTTCTTCACTTTTAATGAAGATGGTAGTGTTAAGAGTCTGCGACTTACTTTCACTTTGATTTGCGATAGGTTGCGGCTGCTCATCTGAGGTGAAGCGCATCGTCATATATGACTAAAATAACATGACCTATAGCCTGCTTTCAACAACCAGATGCATTTACACTTGTCCAGTTTTGTCTGGAATACGGCCCAGACCACGTCCTCAAGTGATTTGAGCGATCGGATTCAAATCCGTCTCGAATGCGTTTCGGAGGGCAACCTGGTCTTTTCACGATCGAATCCGATCACAGAAAACGCATGAAGTGACCAGGTGTAGGCTAAACAGCCCCTTTGAATCCATCTTCTACTTTTGTAGAAAGTTGACTAAAGTTGTGTCGCTTGAGTTGTCTTCTCTGATACGGAGAATGGCGGCGAATACACTGTTGTCTCCACGAGAGTTTGTAATAAACTTCTAATAAAAAATAAAAAAAATAAATAAATAAAAAAAGCCAGGCGAGCGTGAACGCGCATGACGTCACGGCCACTCTCAGATTCGAGCCCGAATCCCTCTTATTCATTTTACTTTACGTTTGTTTGTTTTTTTGGCCAGGCAGTGTATAAACTCAGAATTAAAAATGAAAACTTGGAATTCTGAGAAAGAAATAAAGTCAGATTTGCAAAGTGGAAACTCATAATTGTGAAATGTAAACTCAAATGCAAAGTTTATAGACTGCAAACTTGCAGCTGATTATTAATAACACCCATCACTGCTCCTAAAACCACATCAGACTGTAAATCAGAGCTATTCTATAATCAATATTACTTTCTGTAACTAAATATGCAGAAAACACTCACGGTTTTGGGTTCAGGAAGGCTGGGGTCATTCTCGATGGTGATCTTTTTAGCTTCTTCCAGATTCTTCTCTCTGCGTTCAGCATCTTCAGTCTGTAAATCATGACATCAAACAGGCAGATGTAAAAAAATAAAACATGATTCATACAACAGTAATCATTGATCTATAATCCCAGAATGCTCTAGGTACCTCCTTCTTGTCTGTTTTCTCACTCTTCATTTGGTCTCGATTAAAGAGCTTCTTTGTGCTCTTCATTTGAGTCTTAGAGATGACGGCCCAACGCTGACAACACAAACAAACCATAATGTCAAACTATTAAGAGCAATAAGTTACAGGTTAATTGCTATTCCTACAAAACTTTACCAATTTAAATATTAATTAAATATACATTATTCAGAAAGTATAAATTCAGAAAGTATTCAGACCCCCTTCACTTTTTAAAATTTTGCCCAGTCTTTCAGGAATGTACCGCTGGCTCTTACAGTGGTTAAACATGAGATATAATTAATTCTAGGTGTTATGAAATATGCAATCTGTGCTCTTATTAATATATTTCTTGTTCCTGAGCAAATGAAATTGTGTTAGGGACTGTTAACTTTAATAATTTTAGATTTTGACTAATTTCAAATTAAATCTTTTACTAGAGCACTGCCTTTGCATGTTTGACTGAATTGTATACTTGAGTTTATTTCCTATTGTCTTTTAAAATGTCCATTGTTGTTCATTTGAATACTGTTGTTCAATAAATATTACTTTAACATTCATTAATTATATGCTGTATTTGGTATTGAGAAAGTGTCTATTAGTGGTAGTGATATGGACTTCTGTGAAAGTTACATTATTACACCATTAGATGGCAACAAAGACCTTATGAGTAATTTAGTTACAAAAGCCTTACACATTGAAAGGGACTGAATTTAAACAAAGGAAGTTGTTTTAGCTGTCTTGGAAAATGCCATCAACCCTTAAAAGGACAAATACAAAGATATTGCTTTCCATAGCAGATGCTAAAACTGATTGTTTTTATAATGAATATAATATTAGAGTGTAATTGGGAGAGTGTAGGTGTATGTCAGGAACCGATCTGTTAAAATTAACATTAATTTCTGTTTATTTTATATTATTATTTTTATGAGATTTATCTGATTATTTTTGTTACGGTTAGTTAGTTGTTAACTGCAGGTTTACATACCTCGCCTTCATTCTGCGAATCCACATAGATCACTGGAAAAGGTTCTTTTCCCGCAAACAATAGTGCCTGAAAACATGTAGGAAATATGAATGAGAAAAGTATAAAACAAAACACAGAAAATGGCATCATATCTGCAATGCAGAGATAACTCCCAGCACCTTGAGTGGGGTTTTAAAGGGTTTCTGCTCGGATCCATCTCCATTCACATCACTGCCATGTTTATCAGACACGTACAGTTCTTCTGCAGGACCAAACAACAGCATATTTAACATTCCATCAGTATGCAAGTATGCAGATTCACAGCAGACTTTACTACTGAAAAAAATGTTCTTCAACATCTGTAGCTTTAGTGTGCCACTGAGGGCACAAGGTAGGGATGGACACATCGATTTTGCAGTACTAATATATATATCAATACTCACAAGCTAATTATTTACCATCGATTCGGTTTCAAAACTCATTAGGCCTAAACAGCTATTGTGGCCTTTTTAAGAAGAAAAACAATCTATTTCAAGAAAGTGCAAATGAGCTTGTTTTATGTTGTTGGTATTTAAGATTATATATGTATACCTATTGTTGTTAAAAAATTTTTTAATTGTGCCAACATTAACTTTTGAAACGGCAATTATGTGTCATATAGATGTTCTTCTTCTAAAAAAAAAAAAACATTTGGAAATTTCACATTTGCATTTAACAAAAAAATAATATATATCGGTAATTTGTAACAAAAAGTATCGCTATGAAATTTTTGATTAATCAACATATACGTTTTTATTTACAAAATTGTAAAGCATTTATATTTAAAGTTATACTCCACCGGGTTTTCATATTAAGCTATTCCCTTAAAGGCCATGGTGCAGGTTTTTTTTTTTTTTCTTTTTTGGCAATTTTCTAGTTGGTAATAAACATTTAAACAGTTATCCATTGTATCTGATGTTGTAGGGTACTCAAAAATTAAAATATAACACGGAAAAGTGGGTGAAATGTTAGCTTTTAGCTAAAGCTAAGCGAGGATTCTTATTTCTCCCACAATGCATTCCATGACGTCACATGAGGCACTCGCTGACTGTTGGACGACAGACAGCCCCGCGGCCCGCCTACCATTTTGAGGGAGAGTGATACGAGGAGTTTAAGTTAGCTAGCTAGTGAAGCAGTGACACTGACAGTGACAGATTTATAAGTAAATAAATATAGATAGATAGATCTTCCGAAGCTGGGTGCAGTTTGTCAAGATTAGGCGAGCAGATTTTTCAGCTAAGTTAACGTTAGCTCTGTCGCCGCCTACTCGAGAATATGCAGCGCGCATTTCAAAGAGGAGGATAACCACTCAGGAGATGCCAAGGTGGTCTTACTTCACTTGGATTAAAGAGTGAGAGGAGTGCTAAATTACTTCCAACCGCACTGCCGTCTGTGAACGCAAACCTCTCTGCTTGCCCTGTCCCGAGGTCGAGAGACACCGTCTGCCGCAAGCGAGAAATTGCCACGGTAAGCATCATGCTAACGTTAATGTTTACAAGCTGCATGTTAGCTAGCTCTGTGTGTATTTTGTATAACTACCGTGTTCCCTTTGACATAATAGCCTCCACTACAAGCACGATCACTATGACATTAGAAGAGCATTTTTCGTGATGCACGAATTTGAGCCAAAACAAAATTGCCCAGAAGTAAATGTTTATGTTACTAACTTTACCACGTGTATTACCACTAGTATTGTATAACATTTAATAGTAACATTCAAATCATCAAATATGGTCTGCATTTTTTTATTTTTTTATTTTTTAAAACATTTAGTAGTGCATATTAGGGTCCAATGGGTAATCTCCCTGGCAATCTCATAACATTCTGTTTACTGTTTATGTTTGCTATAATTCATATGCAGGACAATTATGTTTTTCCATTAGTGGCAATGATTTTTATACAGTATTATTATTACGTCTGCAGGTTATGCAACATCATTAATGAAGGCCCTTCGGGAAAGCTACACCAATTCACCTGCGGCTCTTCGAGAGGTTAGCGCCAGTTTGTCCCCATCGCCCCATCGCCACATCCTTCAAACAGGTTCCTGAGGAGGCCGTCAGCCTCTACCTAGCCCGGCAGTCACGCTTCAAGAACCTAATTTCACATTATTTTCTTTCCACAGACAAGTCCAATGGTTTAGTTGTATTTATTTATTTTAGTTGTTAGTTATCTTCTTTCCTTCTGTCCCTGTCATCTCATTTAGTGGTGGTTTCCTGCATTCTGCATGTTTTGTTTTTTTCTTTGTGTGCTGTTTCTTTGGTTTTACTTTGCACAAAATCATTACTTTTTTTTCTTAGGCTATTGATTCCCGTGATCTTGTTTATAAATTCCGATTCAGCCATTAGCCTACCTTCGTGATCACGCAAAGCGGTCTGGAGAGGCGGTCTGTTCAGAATTACAACCAACATAAAATATAAGTGTGCATATACAAATTTGCAGTAATGTTCGGTAAAAATAAACTTTATTAACATAAAATGAAACCGGAGAGATAGTTAATGATCCATAACTGTTAACGGGATTAATTTCAGCATGGCTAATGTGCCCCTTCTTCCTACCCTAATCATGGACTAAACCATATCAGAAAACACATACAAATACATGTATTTGATGTACAGTACACATGTATATTTGAATCACACATAACTAACCTTAACCCATAAACATAATATATTAATTGGCTCTCTGGACTACACTATTACAGGCTAAAGATTTTTTGTATAGAGTTGTTTACTTAAAACCTGTGTCTTTGTTCAGTAATCTTTGTCCTTGTTCAGAAAATGTTTAGTAACCATTACAAGCAATGCCAATAAACTGTTTTATTCTTATAAAAATTCATGTGTTCTGTGTACTTTATAACATTTTGAGGGCAATTGGGTGATGACAACAGAATAAGCAATTATATTTTTAAATTAATTTTCATCCAAACGAGGCGATTGAAAGCCCTGATAGGTCTGGTCACGACTTTGGAATTGTTGTCTGATGGTTGAAACCACACGAGAGGCTTCTTCTGCTCTTGCTTAAAACACCATAAGCCCAGCATATAGCCTGTCTGTATGCACTGTACTGGTATTGCCTAGGGATAAGTAGGAAAGATTCTTAAGTTTTAAACTCTGTAAGTAGGTTGGAAACGTCTCTGATTCATGTTTATTGTGTATGCAACACATCTCCTGTCACCTATAGCTGTTGTTCATGAACATACTCATGCGTGCTGGTTTGAAGGGGACCATTATCTTGCATGAAGTGTGAGTATGCTATGTGTAGCACAAATGGATTCAGGCATTATGCCTCATATCCAGAATGCTGGATATGTACACGTTACATCTGTATCAGTATATTTAAAGTAGCCTGCCTCCTCTGTATGGATAGAAAATTGTTGTATTACAAGACACAAATTCAGATAGGCTTCTCAGAGCCTGTTTTATTACAGGTTTGAATGAATGAAATGTCTCTTCTGTATTAGAAAAATAAATATATAATTATTTTAGGTTTGAATGAATGAAATGTCTCTTCTGTATTAGAAAAATAAATATATAATTAAGAAATAACTAAAATAAATACCTCCAAATGTAACAAAAATAGCTCTCACAAACTTACAAAAACGAACTAACAAAATGTATCTAGTTTTCTTCCTCCTTATCCTGTTTTTCTTCCTCATGCTTGTTTGCCCATCTGATCATTCCCAGAAGTTTTTTGAAAACCAGGACATTTTCATAATTAAAAAAATAAAATAAAAACAGCCAGGACAGGACGTGAAAACAGAAAATGTCCTGGTAAAACAGGACTGTTGGTCACCCTAACCAAGTCTAAAGTCAGTGGCGCGTTGCGTGTACTTTCAGATGCTATTTTATCCGCATGCTTGCAGATACAGAGTGAACAACGCGCATACACATAGTAGATGATTCTCTCATTTACACAGATGCATTTTACTTTTTACAAATGATGCATTATTATAAGGAAAACTATTTAAACACGAGGGAAATCATTGTTGTGTTCATGATGACGATAGGAAAAATAGGCATAAAGCATACACATTTGCCCAAATTGATATGCATAACCGAAGCTAATATGGGTGGGTTTGTCCCATCCCCAATGTCACTTCTATTTCTTTTACAGCCCTGACGAGAACATCGATCTCCTCGGCTTTGAACCATCAGACTTTACTGTGAACCGATTCTGAAGCGCGCCGCTGCCTGCAGCCTGCAGCTGCGTCTGCCTCATGTGACGTCATCGCCGAGTCGCGTGAAAAATAACCGTCACTAAACAAAAACTACAAAAACGGGACTTTAACACCATTTTTGAGATATTTCTAACTTCATATACATATCTTAACTGCTTTATGTACCCATTCATCGACAGTAGTGTTTAACCTGCACCATGGCCTTTAACTAAGACGAGCTGATGCATACCTCTCTCGTCTCAGTGCGTGCACGCTATCGCTCTGTATTGCCGCAAAACTATGTTAGCACTTAGCTTAGCCCAGTGCATTAAATATGGGCCAAAAAGAGAAGTGACAAAACACTTCCTCGTTTTCCCTATTTAAACAGTTACTCGATTAGTGTAACTCGACCTAGGCTGGTGACACAAAATAAAACGTTGTGTTTTTCTAAGCGTTTAAAATTGATGACTATATTGTATGGCGGAATACCATAAAAAAGTGCTTTAGAGCACTTCAACTTGGCGCAATAATACCTTCGCTCGTGAAAAGTCCTCTTACCGGCTCCCGCTTCCTCGCTCTCCCCCTCCCTCTTATTTCCGTCAATGTAGCCAAAGTGACATGCGACAAAGCGGGGACAGGTGTCGTGCCAAGGTACTTACCCCTGATAGAAAGTGTGTACCTTGGCACGACACCTGTCACGGTAAGAGTATTTTTTTATTTATTTTTTTTTTTTTATTTTTTTTTAATAAATGTAATGGTAGCCTTGGTGAACAACATACAAGTCAGGCACCCTCCTGTGTGAACACAGGATTGAATCTGGCCCCCTGCGAAAAGTTTGGACACCCCTGACTGACCACATGAATAGAGTAAGAAGGTAGACTGGACAATTAGTGAATGATTGTCAGATCCCGAGCGCCACTGATGAATATCTAATGTCAATAGCGTACTCCGTAGCTACACTATACAGTGATAGCGATAGCGAAAGTGAAAGTAAAACGCAAGTAAGCATTCAAAAGCGATTTCAACACACCGCTTTCTAATAGCGGTGCCATTATTTCCGAAAATTATACCGTATTATTTCCCAACTATTTAATTGCGAGAGATCGCACTGAAATATTCTTACAGTCCCATCTCGTATTCCCTTTGGCTCATCTAGGCTACACAGTCAGTGTAATTTCCTTTACGAACATAGTATTCGGCTTCGGACACATCCCTAGTAGCCTACATAATATATAGCTAGCTACTGTATATTATAGTGTGCACTGGAGTATATATAAATAAAATACAGCATATGGTATAGAGAGCAGAATCTGACGCAACACTATGCAGCAGCATCTTCATCTCCAATCATCATCATCAAACTCACTGATCGACATCTGACCGACAGCCTCGTCCGCCATATTGTGCTATTTGGACCTCAGATGGGTTTTGTCCGGATCTGTTGTTCGGAAGTTTTAAACGCGGCGTAAATCGGATGGTCCGTCTATTTTCTTGTCTCTACCACCAGTCCACGTTGCACGAGCTTCTGGGGACGCACGCGCAGTAGCGCAAACTTGGCTTTCGCTGTTGTCGCCTCAGTTGGGGATTGGTACATTCGCAAGATGACGCAAATAAAGAAAAAAACGCCCATGACCTTTGCTGCTAATAAAATGTATGTTATCTTAATTCCGTATTCCGTTGCTTCTACATGAAAGTAAACACGATTAATATGGGGCTATATCCGAACATAAACTTTTATGCTTTTATACTTTCATTATTAGCCTTGATGTTTGCAACACAGGAATAGCTAGCCTATTTGCCAACAAAATTGCAAGACCAATCTGTGTCCTCATAAAAAAGGCAATAGCCTTATACTGTATATATATAGGAAAACATTTTATATATATATATATATATATATTATATATATATATATATATATATATATATATATATATATATATATTATATATATATATATATATATATATATATATATATATATATATATATATATATATATATATATAAGGCTATTGCCTTTTTTATGAGGACACAGATTGGTCTTGCAATTTTGTTGCACTTTTTCAACAAATAAGTAGGCCTAGCCTAGATAAAATCTCAGATAAGTGGTTCAAATCTTTTATTTTATTTCCTGAAAGAGAATATAATGACTGTACAATTACCAAATGAATGTTTTTCACACATTTACATAATAAATGCTAAACTGATTAGATTTATTCAAAACACATGTTCAAGTGTTTTAGTTTTGCATAGGCCTATGTGAATATTTACAGTGTAGGCTATAGCCTAGGCCTACATATTATTTTATGCTACATTATGTAGCCTACCGGCGGTGATGAGACATGCCTTTGGTGTGAGAGGCCGGGTTCGAACTTAACCGAAATCTCTAAAACAAAAAATAATTAATCACAAAAAAAATGTCACCTTCAGAAAAAAAATCAGGACCCCTACAGCGATATCAGAATCATTTTCATATAGGTAGGCCTGCAGGGCTGTTTAGGCTTGGACTTTGGAAACATTACACTTTTTACTGTTTTTGAAAGAAGTCTATATGCTTTTTAGGCTGCATTTATTTGATCTAAAGAAAAAACATTAATATTGTGAAATTGACCATTTTAAATAGGCTAGTCTTTTATTTGTATTATACTTATAACTTTTGATACTTTTTTCAGGATTCAGAGTAAAAACAGCATTTTAAATAGGCCTAAATGTTGTAAGAACAACATAAGTTGTTAGTTTTTACCCGGAACTTCTTTTAGACCCTGGTTCCTGCGATGTAAACACACCGAGTAGGCTATCACCCCAAAGTTCTGGGGAAAGTTCCTGCGGTGGAAACGAATCGGTTACCTAACGTAACCTCGGTTCTCTCTAGATGAGGGAATGTGTAAGCTAGCTTACGCTACGGGAAAGATTCATCTTTGCTGAGAAGTTGAAGCCAAAAAATTATTCCATAATTTTTTTAATCATTGTCAACGCAGTTCCTCTGAGGCAGACCATAAGCGGGCTAACTAGCAGCTCATTGGTTCGTTCAGAGAGAAATGCACAAGCCTATGGGAGAGCGGAGCTGAACCTGCGCCCAATGAGCGGCAGGCGCTTGCTCATTACGTCAGAGCCCGCCGAAAGGGGCGTGGCTTGAGTGTATAAAAGGGCTCTCCCTAGGCTGTTTAGACGATTTCTTTCAGCGTGAAGCGAAACGTGGCGTTCATCTAGAGAGAACCGAGCCGGGGAACTAATACATATAATACATAAACACATAGGGGAAGCACAAGGGGCGAACCGGTTGTGATAGAACTCCCAATAGTGCAGCTTCTTAAGGAGAGCTGTAGCATACTAGACCGCCAGTAATTTCGCCTGTAAGGCGGGAACTTCCAAGTTATAAAATCTGACAAAGGTGGACGGGGAGGCCCATCCCGCGGCCACACAAATGTCGTGAATGGAAATTCCGCAGGACCATGCCCACGATGAGGCCATGCCTCTAGTGGAATGAGCCCTGATGCCCAAAGGGCAAGGCAGGTCTTTAGAGGCGTAAGCAGAGGCGATAGCGGCCACTATCCATCTAGACAGTGTCTGTTTTGAGGCGGCCAGACCCTTGGTGCGGCCACCGAACGACACGAACAGCTGCTCCGAGCGTCTGAACGCGGCAGCGCGTGTAGTGTACAATCTCAGAGCCCGGACCGGGCAAAGGAGATTGGCATCACGTTCGCTATCGAATGCAGGCAGAGCCGACAGAGAGATAATTTGTGCCCTGAAAGGGGTACCAATCGCTTTTGGAACATAACCATGCCTAGGTTTGAGAATGACGACTGAGTCATTAGGTCCAAACTCAAGATACGCGGCGCTCGACGATAGCGCGTGAATGTCCCCCACATGTTTTACTGAGGCCAGAGCAATCAGCAAAAACGTTTTTTTGCGAGAGATATTTTAGGTCCACGGACTCGAGTGGTTCGAACGGAGGGGCTTTCAAAGCTTCGACAATTATAGAAAGATCCCAGACCGGAACCGAAGGGGGGCGAGGGGGGTGATGAACTTCTGGCTCCCCTGAGGAAGCGGATGATTAGCTCGTCTTTGCCCAGCGACTGGGCGCGTCGGGGTTCAGGTTCACGGCTGCCACGTAAACCTTTAGAGTGGATGGGGACCTGCCCTTATCCAGCATCTCCTGAAGGAAAACGAGCAAAGACGAAACCTCGCACGTCCGTGGGTCTAAGTTTTTGTCGGTGCACCATTTTGAGAACACAGACCATTTTGCAGCATAGAGCTTTCTAGTAGACGCCGCTGTGGGGTGTTTTTTTATCGTGTTCAGAACTCCTTCTGGCAAATCGACGAGTAGTCGTTGGTCACCCATGCATGAAGCGCCCAGCGCTTGTGGATGGGGATGCCAGATCGTGCCACGAGCTTGAGTGAGGAGATCTGCTCTGATTGGAATGGGCCACGGGGCTGTCTGAGACAGCTGCGTGAGCTCTGGGAACCAAATCTGATTCTCCCAGCGTGGGGCTATGAGGAGCACCGGGTGGCGTGTGTTCCTTCCGTCCCTCCCCTGGTCTGTCCCTTCCGTCCCTCCCCTGGTCTGTCCCTTCCGTCCCGCCCTGATGTTTCTTCCCTGTCACGCCCTGGTCTGATGGAGCGTCTGGTAGCCGCTCCGTAGAGGGGGGGTTATGTCACAGTGTCTGGTTGTGTTTCCCTTGTTTAGCACTAGAGGTCCTCGTTCTCACTGTGTCCTTCACAATTAACTGCAATTCCCAGCATTCTGTCTGTCACTATCACTCATCAGTTCATTGCACTCAGCTGTTCCCCGTTATCATTGTTCCCAGCTGTTCTGTGTTACCCTGTTTGAGATGTGTATATATTCCCTGTCAGTGTTAGTATGTGTACGGAGTCGTTGTTTAATGTCCTCACGCTTCTGTGTCCGAGCCTTGTTTATGTTTTATGTTTTGGACTGCCTTTGTGGATTTTGACCCCTGCCTGGAATACTCTGATTTTGGAATACCCTTTAAAAATAAAGACTGCTGCAAATTGGATCTGTCTATCCCTCTTGTGTGTCTGTGACAGAGCCTGGACACTTTCAAAGCTGAACTGAAGACTTTTTTAGTCAGAAAGGCGTTTTTGTGCTGATTGTTTTTATTATTATTTTTTAGTTACTGTTCTCCTGTGTTGCACTTTGAGATTCTTCGGATTGAAAAGTGCGTTATAAATCAAATATATTATTATTATTATTATTATTATTAAGACTGCACTGCATGCAGGCTATTGTACCAGGAAAATAAAAGACATTTTTAGATTGCATTAGGCAACTTTTCTGTGAATTTTAAGTTCCTAAAATTATTGTCACTTGATGTTGCAGTTATTCTTGACCTTTAAAATAAAATAGTCATCATAATGTGTGAACAAAAACAAACCGTTTCCAATCATGGGTTACCATAAATGTATGCTTACTTGACAGTTTCACAACACTATAGTTCCAAATAATAAAGTTAGGTTTAAGGAACATGATTTATAGGCCTATATGTTATAGATACATCATTTATATTTGTTAAATAAATATGATTCATATGTTTGTAAAATCAACATGATTTATATGTAAAAGAGACATAATTTGTGCTTGTTAAACAAACATGAATTTAGTGTTTTTCCATTGATATATGCTGTGGTTTCAATAAAACTAAACTGAGTAGTAATTTTTTTAAGTAAATTAACAACATTACTGTACAGTTTAAAAAGCAATAGGACAAGCAAACACATTTCTTGAATCAAATTGCTTTATTCTTTTTTTATGTTATAATAAAATTCTCATTGAAGACCCTTCGGGTGGCCAGGGCGGTGAAGACCCCTCGGGTGGCCAGGGCGGTGAAGATCCTTCGGGTGGCCAGGGCGGTGCAGACGCCGGCCAGGACGGTGCAGACCCCTCGGACGGCCAGGACGGTGCAGACCCCTCGGACGGCCAGGGCGGTGCAGACCTGCCTCTGGAACAGGCTCTGCCTCTGGAACAGGCAGACGGAATGTATAAATGCTCACAAAGGCGTTGCCGTGCGTAGCCAACGCCGTACACTAAGGCCAATTTATACTTCTGCGTCGAGGGTACGCCGTAGTGTACGGCGTTGGCTACGCACGTAGGCGACGCCGTTGTGAGCATTTATACTTCTGCGTTCAGGTCTTGGTTGCTCTGCAGTACTGCTCCGAAACGCTAGTTGGCGGCGGAGAGTTTTAATGTTCCACTGTGTTTAGATTCCTCGCGGCTAGGTTACTACGAGTGAAAGAGAGCTGATCATGTTGGAATTGGAGCTTATTAAGGTGGAAAAACAGTTCACTTTAGTGAAATTACTAAAACTGAAAGGCATAAATGAGAGAAGACTTCGGAGGAGATGAAACTTGTGGAAATCATAGACAGTGGTGGAAATGCGTGAGAAGGTACGTGCGGAAATGCGTAGGAGGAAATGCGATGCTACCAAGCCAACCAATCACCGATCTTGCGGTCCGCGTCGTCGCGACGTGTAGTTACATTTTTGAGGAGGTGCGCGTCAGGCGACGGCGAAGGGTACGCGGTATG